GACACTTCACTGTTGCCTACTGGTGGTGGTCAGAGGGCCCGGTGGCGCCAGTGTCCGGCAGCCTCGCCTCTGGGTGGTTGTGGTTACAATGTAGCTGCCATCACCAGTGTGTGAATGGGTGGATGACTGGATATGTAAAGTGCTTTGGGGTCCTTAGGGACTAGTAAAGCGCTATATAAATACAGACCATTTACCATATGGAAAATTAGCTATAAAGGTGAATTAAGTTCTCAGGTAAATAAAACGCAATAAAAGCAATAGTAAGGTAAAACTGAACCATGGGAGCATTTAATATTTAGAGAAAAGAAAACTGGCAAATTAAAATTAAAATACGTTTACAAGAATTAAAAACTTCCGAAAAACATTAAAATAAAATAATAATTAATTAATAAATAATTAATAAATAATAATAAAATGGTAAAATAATTCCAGAGCAAAATCAACCACAAAGTATAAAGTAAAAGACCTAAAAATATACCTGTGTTTAATTTTAGTTTACTATTAGCTTATTTAAAATTACATAAAACTGTAAAGTGCTTTCCAAAGTTGGAAATCATATGGAAAATTAGCTATAAAGGTGAATCAAGTTCTCAGGTAAATAAAACGCAACAAAAGCAGTAGCAAGGTAAAACTGAACCATGGGAGTGTTTAATATTTAAAGAAAAAAAACTGGCAAATTAATATTGAAGAAATTATCCAAAATTAAAATACGTTTACAAGAATGAAAAACTTCCGAAAAACATTGTTTCTTCTTCTGTTAAGGAACCACATCAGCCTCGTCACAGGACAGACCCCACCCGTAAACAAAGACTAACTGATTCCAGAGGCATTCGAGTGACGTCTGGAAGGACTTGACACAAAAACCTCTGAACGGGTCCAGCTCACTCACGTGTCTCTTCTGAGCCAACATCAGGAGGATTTCCTCAGTGAATCTTGATTTGATGAGGTCACCCGCTGTAGTGAGGTCGGTCCAGACTTGCAAAGTGAAGGATTTGTCTTTATTTTCAGGGTTAAAAAAATCATTACTATAATGAGTTAAAGTTAAAGACAACACAGTGATGATAAAACACTATAAAGAACAAAAAGAAAAAGCAGCTGTGAAACAACCACAGGCCTCAAACCTACTTATCTGCAGTAACCTACCACATGCTTTTACTGCAGCAGTTCTCTGGTTAGTTGAAATGGGAACGGTCAGATTTCATGGTGCTTTTCTATCATCTAACTAAAGAAATGCAAACTTCTATGAGTATGTGCCTTTAAGAAAACCTGTTTTATATTGTTGGAACATTTTTCAGTTTGGAGCTGAACCTGCAGCTGGAAATATTCAGTCTTTTTAAACTATAAACAAGCACTTCACTAGAAATTAAAACAGAATGAAACTTTACAGGCACACTCTAATCATTTTATTAATCATCATCCCACTAAAGACACAGCTGTTATTGTTACCATCACCACAAAACATGGTATTCTTAGACTTCTATGTATCTGCACAATTAAATTATGCAGTACTGGGTCTAAATTCATTTACAAATAATTAATAATTAATAATGAAACTTTGAATAAACAGACTACAAAACAAGAGGAAGAAGGGTGGGGTGTAAATGATTATTAAAATTTCCTCCTTATTTAATGTTATCCTGAATTATTTATTTAAAAATTCATTTTTTCTAAATAGAGTATGAAATTGGATTTTTATTAATTAATTAAAACATTTAATTTATGCCCAAGTTGACTGATCTTTTCATAGTTCCCTTTTTAATTTGAAAGTTTTATTCATGGGCTTATAACGCTCTTAACTACTCTGTATAATAAAATTATTTGGGATTTACTGCATTTATTTTTAAATACATCAAATTAATTAATGTTTGCTTTAATTGTAGAATTCATCTTTATAAAAACGTACACTTTGTGGTCCTAACAGATCATACCAACACACTCAATCACACACGAACGACCAAACCTAGTAAAGTAGGACAGGACGATTAATCCAGTGTTATTCCAGCAGCTGTAGCATTTGGGTGATTTTGCTAAAAGCAGCTAACAGGATGTTGTGGGTAACGAGAGGTTAGCTGGGAGCCAAAAGTCCATCAGGGACTTTTCTTAAAGGATCTTGAGTGCCCATGGAGATTTTTAAAGTTTCAAAGGTTCCTCCCATCACCCCAACCAGTCACAGCAGATGGCTCTTCCCTGATCCAGAGGTTTCTTCCTGTTAAAAGGAAGTTTTTCTTCGCCACCATTGCCAAAGGTCTTGCTCATAGGCGGTCACCTGATTGTTGGCGTTTTCTCTCTATTTTTGTTACTATTTTTTTTATAATATAATAATAATAATAACTTTATTTATAAAGCTCTTTCAAACAAAGTGCTGTACAACTATTTGAAACTAAAATAATAATAATAATAATAAAAGCCATACATAGCAATACAGGTAAAAGACACAATACAAGTTAAAAACAGTAAAAATTTAAAAACTAAAAGCCATAGAATTAATTTAAATTTAATTTTAACAATAAAAAGCATATTGAGCCAACTGTTGTTGTGATTTGGTGCTATTTAAAAACAATTGTATAGAAAAGAGAAAAAATTGATGGCAAGACCAACAGTTCACAGATGACTAAACATCCATCTCGGTGTGACGGATCTGATGAGCAAGACGTTTGGCCCATAGTGACAAAATAAAACGAACACCATGTTGTGTTCGATAAGACTTTAAATGAGACTGAACTCGTCAGGTAAATGTTTAATGAGGTCAAAAATAACACGTGCTAAGTGTCCCATTTTCTCACTTATATAATTATATAGGTCTATACAATTTACTATATAATTAGTCCTCTTTTTGAAACCAGAGGTGTCGCCTCCTGCTGGCCAGTAGAATGTATGCAAGTTGTTAGTTTTTGGTGCAACTTTATAGAAATGCAATTTTAAATCATCCCATTCAACCTGTTTATGGTTTTTTGGAAGTAAAATTTACACAAACTTTGAAACAAGCTCAGGTGTTAAACATAAGTTGAGACAAAAGTTGTTTAAATTAATGAAATCTCAGAAACTCCAAGAAAACTAACAAAGCCCACATTAACATGAAACCTTCAAACCTTCCCCTCCCCTGATCCGGTTTTATTTTGGTTTCAGTTTGAACCACTAGGAGATCTCGTCGGCTTTGAGCGGTACATAGATCGTTTTCTTTCGTATTTGTTTGAAACAGCTGAACCGATGCAGCTTCAGGATATGAGACAATGCATGTGTGGTGCATTGAGGCTTCCACGTGGTGCCGGGACTTCCCAACAAACCTAAAACCAAATATAACTCTAATAAACTAAGCAGTGGAGTTTTAAGATCTCTCTTTAATTTAGAAAAGCAAAGCAGATGTTCATTTTTCCCCCATAAAGTTTTCTTTGACTTTACAAAATTAATATAAATTCACACGAAACTATTAAAATAAGACAACAGACGCGTGTTTGTGAACAATTATTTATAATTTAAAATTCATCCATAAAGGATATTCTCCTGTTTGTAGTGTGTTTCAGTAGAAACAGCTCAGCAACATCTGGAGGCTTCTTTGAAAACACATTGAAGAAACAGACAAAACCCAGTGTTGTATTTGGTTTATTTCACTGATTTCATCTCCTGCTTTATGAACCACAGTCAGCAAAGCAGTCTGAAGTCACAGACACAAACCTGATTGTTTCACTTTTCCTTTCCTACTAAAGACTTTTTGTCCAGCTCTAAAATCTTAAAACTCAAAGCAGGATACTCAGAGATGAATGTGAGTGTGAGCTGAGGGCGTGGACCAGCTCAGTGACCGTGTGAGGGTGGAGACTGACGTGGTGACCGGACTGCACGTTGTGTGGTATGTTTGGTGTTCCCAGTTCACTTTCAGTCTACAAATCCACTCCGTCTGTGGGGGAAAGCAAAAGCTCGGGAGGCGCGATGCAGATGGGAGGCGTGGCAGGAAAAGAGCGGGGGGAGCAGCCTTTGAATGCTAAAGCTCCCCCACCCGCCCCCCGAGGCCAAGGCGAACAAAGAAGAATTAAAAACATAGAAAAATACAAGAAAAGGACAAAAAAAAAGATTAAAAAGGCAAAGCTGCCTCAGAGGAGAGGCACGACGATGGTGATAATGCACAAAAAAAAAAAAAAAGCTTTAGGAAAGAGCACCACATTGACGTCAGTTTTCATGATCTCTTGCTTGTGACTGACCTCACCTGCCTATCATGCTGCAGGGGGAGGAGGGGGCTGACGGGGGCTCGTGAAATACCTGAGCGAAATCTAGGGGGCTGACTGAAACCTGATGCAGTGAGCAACAACAGGTGAGTCGGCGCTCTCTAAGCATGCGGCGCACTTTCGCTCCGTTACACATAATCAATCCAAAGACGTCTGCAATAAAAGCAAAATAAGAGCTCAAATGAAACCCTGCAGCAAAGAAAAAGGATCTGAGTGAAGACAAAGCTGCGCCTGATTGGTTTAAATTAACAAGAAGCTTTACTATAAAAATGAAAGCAGTTTTTCGAGGGCTCGTTTCACCCTCAGGTAAACCAATAAAACCGCCATCTTTACCGTGACAGCAGGTAAAGATGGCACAGCCGTACGATGAAGTCTAAAGGAAACTCGCTGTCGTGAATGGAAATGTGTGCGTTTGTATTGCTGTACTGTGGCAGCCGAACACCCCCTCCGAATGGAAGTGTGTTTTTCTGTGGGAAACAGGAAGAGCTTGAGGCTGGATCGATCATGAGCAGTCTTATTGCTTTGCAGAGGCAGGTAGGTAAGCTGCCGCGGTCTCCAGGTAGGACCAGGTACTTGGCTAGCTCTCCTCTCACTGTGCTAGATACAAGGGCATGCGTCATCCTAGTAACAAAGCAGGTTTAGCTAAAACAAACAAAACAAAAAAGCACACCCCTCTGAGCCACAGCGAAGGGGACTGCATGGAAAGGATGATTTTGTTTGGCACGCTGGGGCGAAGGAAGCGAGGAGGAGAACTGCAGAATGGGAGCAGGTGTCTTTTTGGGCAAGTCCAAGGCTATGAGAGCCCGCTGTGGGCAGGGCACATCTGTGCTGTAATTCCTTCTAACGCTCACCAAAACAAACTCGTCACGTCTGCCGGCTTGACGCTTTCAGGGAACAGTAATCACAATCCACCTTCCCGGGGTCCGTCTTTCCAAACGTCTTGGCGGCAGGTGCTGCGAAGTCACGAAACTCCAGTTTACGCACACGCACCGGGGTTCGGTGGCGTGGCGAGTTCATGTTTCCTGCACCGGTTAATGTGTTTTAACAGTGTGTGCGTGCCGTCCTCTCTCGCCACATCTGGATTGTGTCAGAGTTTGTTCAGGTAGTGATGCTCGCTGCGTGGCGAGGAGAGGCCCCCGGTGATCGACAGGTACCACTTTTTTTTTTTTCTTTTTTAAAATAGAACCTCTCTTCTTCTGTAGATGCTATTTAAATATACACACTCAGCACAGCCAAGTCTACAATCATTAGCTTCATAATAAGAATATGAATAAACGATGATAATATAATATATATATAGAGAGTCGTCTGTAGCATGAGTTTTCGTCAGCAGCCATCACTAGAACATTCAGGGTGGTAATTGCATATGTACACGAGAAACAAAAAAGAACGTCATTTACATCCCGGTGCTTGAGGCTCAGGGTCACAATTCATGTGTGTTGATGGGGAGGAGAGGTGATGGATGCTGGTGTGTTATCTGAGCCTCTTCTCTGCCGAGTAGATGGACATGTAGTAGTCGTTGCTGCCTACCGCCAAGTGAGGCTGCAGGGAGACGGAGAGAAAGACAGGGGAGGTTACTTGGTAACTTTTTAACTTAAATTTTAACTCGGTAGCTTCTTTTAACGTAGCCTAGGTTGGTTACCAACCTAGGCTACGTTCACACTGCAGGCGAAAGCGCATCAAATCCGATTTTTTTGACCCTATGCGACCCATATCCGATCATGCCGTGACAGTGTGAACGGCACGAATCCGATATTTTCAAATCCGATCTGGGTCACTTTCGTATGTGGTCCTGAATCCGATACATATCCGATGTTTTAGAAAGCGACTGCTGTTTGAACGGTCATGTCGCATTAAATCCGTCTTTTACGTCACTGACACAAGACAGACGCCAATTATCAGCGCCGGAGAAGACATCGCGAACACTTCCTGGCCATCCAGTGTAGATGTCGGACGATCTGATATCCTCGTGTTGGTGTTGTTCCCTCGTCATCATAAATAATGTTGTTCCAGGTTCAACATTGGAAGCGACCGATCGCCTTCTGCTGACGTCATCTGCGACCTCGGAAAAAAACAAACGGCTTCAAAAAATCTACTTCACTTGCGAGAAGAGAAACCGCCTCTGTAAGGACACTTACCGTTAATGCTTACCGTTTATTAAAGGAAAGTATCCTGAAATGCAAAGAATTCAAGTTCCGGGATCGGCGGACAGAAGCGGTTTCTCTTGTCGCAAGTGAAGTAGATTTTTTGAAGGC